CCCAAATCCCCCAAAAATCCCAAAAAAATCCCAAAAAAATCCCAAAAATCTCCCAAAAATCCTAATAAAATTCAAAAATAATCCCAATAAAATCCCAATAAAATCCACCAAAAATGCCCCAAAAATCCCAATAAAATCCCCCAAAATCCCCCAAAAATCCCAATAAAATCCCCATAAAATCTCCCCAAAATGCCCCAAAAATCCCAAAAAAATCCCAATAAAATCCCCCAAAAATCCCAATAAAATCTCCCAATAAAATCTCCCAAAAATCCCAAAAAAATCCCAATAAAATCCCAATAAAATCTCCCCAAAATCTCCCAAAAATCCTAATAAAATTCAAAAATAATCCCAATAAAATCCCAATAAAATCTCCCAAAAATGCCCCAAAAATCCACCAGAAATCTTCCCAAAATTCCCCAAAATCCCAATAAAATCCAAATAAAATCCCAATAAAATCCCCCAAAAATCCTAATAAAATTCAAAAATAATCCCAATAAATCCCAATAAAATCCCCCAAAAATCCTAATAAAATTCAAAAATAATCCCAATAAATCCCAATAAAATCCCCCAAAAATCTTCCAAAAACTTTCCAAAAATCCCAATAAAATCTCCCAAAAATCCCAATAAAATCTCCCAATAAAATCTCCCAAAAATCCCAAAAAAATCCCAAAAAAATCCCAAAAATCTCCCAGAATTCCCTAAATCCCACCCAGAAATCCCTAAATCCCACCCAGAATTCCCAAAAATCCACCCCAAAATCCCCAAATTCACCCAGAATTCCCAAAAATTCCTGAAAATCCACGCAGAAATCCCAAAAATCCACCCAGAACTCCCCAATAATTCCCCAAAATCCACCCAAAATCCACCCAGAATTACCCCAAAAATCCCAAAATCCACCCAGAAATCCCCAAATCCACCCAGAAATCCCAAAAATCCACCCAAAACCCCCTAAATCACACCCAAAATTCCCAAAAATACACCCAGAATTCCCCAAAAATCCACCCAAAAACCCCTAAATCACACCCAATATTCCCAAAAATCCACCCCAAAATCCCCAAAAATCCCACCCAGAATTCCCAAAAATTCCCGAAAATCCACGCAGAATTCCCCAAAAATCCACCCAGAAATCCACCCAGAATTCCCAAAAATCCACCCAAAATCCACCCAGAATTCCCCTAAAAGTCCACTAAATCCACCCAGAAATCCACATTCCCAAAAATCCACCCCAAAAATCCCACCCAGAATTCCCAAAAATTCCCGAAAATCCACGCAGAATTCCCCAAAAATCCACCCAGAATTCCCCTAAAAGTCCACTAAATCCACCCAGAAATCCACACAAAATTCCCCTAAAATTTCCCTAAATCCACCCAAAATTCGCTAAATCCCACCCAGAATTCCCCAAAAATTCCCCTAAATTCATCCAAAATTCACCCAAAATTCCCCCAAAACTCCCCTAAATCCACCCAAAAATCCCAAAAATCCACCCAGAATTCCCCAAATCCACCCAAAGATCCCTAAAATCCCACTGGGAAACCCCTCAGAATTCCCTAAATCCACCCAAAATTCCCAAAATCCACCCAAAACCCCCCAAAATTCCCCAAAACCCACCCAAAATTTCCAAAAATCCCCCCCAAAATTCACTAAATTCCATCCAAAAATCCCCAAAAACTTGGGATTTTTGGATCCCAGATTTTTGGGGTTTTGAGATTTTGGGATCCCAGATTTTGGGTATTTTTGGGATTTTGGGAATTTTTGGATTTTGGGGATTTGGGATCCTGTTGGGATTTTTGGGATTTGGGATGCTCTATTTTAGGGATTTTGGGGATGTTGGGATTTGGGGATTTGGGATTTTGGGGATTTTTGGGACCCTGAATTTTGGGCATTTTCGGGATTTGGGATCTCAGATTTGGGGATTTGGGATTTTGGGAAATTTAGGGATTTTGGGGATTTGGGATCCCAGATTTGGGGGTTTTGGGGATTTGGGATTTTGGGGATTTTTGGGATTTGGGATCCCAGATTTGGGGATTTTCAGGGTTTTGGGGATTTTTGGATGTTGGGATTTTTGGGATTTGGGATCCTGGATTTTGGGGGGGATTTTTGGATGTTGGGATTTTTGGGATTTGGGATCCTGGATTTTGGGGGGGATTTTTGGATGTTGGGATTTGGGGATTTGGGATTTCGGGGATTTGGGATCCTGAATTTTGGGGATTTTTGCATGTTGGGATTTCGGGGATTTGGGATGCTGGATTTTGGGGATTTTGGGGATTTTGGGGATGTTGGGATTTGGGGATTTGGGATGCTGGATTTTGGGGATTTTGGGGATTTTGGGAATTTTTGGATGTTGGGATTTTTGGGATTTGGGATGCTGGATTTTGGGGATTTTTGGATGTTGGGATTTTGGGGATTTGGGATGCTGGATTTTGGGGATTTTGGGGATGTTGGGATTTGGGATGCTGGATTTTGGGGATTTTGGGGATTTCAGGGATTTGGGGATTTGGGACGCTGGATTTTGGTGGTTTTTGGGATTTTTGGGATTTGTTTTCGGGGCTCACCCTCGGCCGCCCGCGGCTGTTTCCCGATGTACTCCTCGATCTTCTGCATGATCTCAGCAAACTGCGGGAAAAACCCAAATTTGGCCATTTTGGGATTCATTGGGGACTCATTTGGGATTATTTGGGATTGATTTGGGGCTTTTTGGGGTTTATTTGGGATTATTTGGGGTTTATTTTGGTTTTTTTTTCTATCCTGAAAATGATTCAAATGCAATGCAGAGTGAATCTTAATTTAAAGAAATTATTCTAACTGTGGGTTGTGTGCTGGAAGAAAAAACTCTCTCAATCATCAAATTGTTGTGCTTGTATTTTGTAATATTGTATAAAAACATATACACTGCTTTTCTTGATTTTAATGTTCTGAGTAGTGTTAATTTTGTATACCAAGGTTCACCCCTTGGTATTGTAATCAGCCAAACAAGAGTTCTTTCAAATTGGAGACCTCATTTGGTCTTGGGGTTTTTTGGGGTTTATTTGGGTTTTTTGGGATTGATTTGGGTTTTTTTGGGGTTTATTTGGGGTTTTTTGGGATTTATTTGGGTTTTTTTGGGATTTATTTGGGGTTTTTTGGGATTTATTTGGGGTTTTTTGGGGTTTATTTGGGGTTTTTTGGGATTTATTTGGGGTTTATTTGGGTTTTTTGGGGATTGATTTGGGGTTTTTTTGGGGTTTATTTGGGGTTTTGGGGTTTTTTTGGGGATTTTTTTTAATTTATTTGGGGGATTTCAGGTGGATTTGGGATTTTTGGGGATGGATTTGGGGCTTTTTGGGGTTTATTTGGGGTTTTTTGGGATTTATTTGGGGCTTTTTGGGACTTATTTGGGATTTTTTGGGGTTTATTTGGGTTTTTTGGGATTGATTTGGGTTTTTTGGGATTTGGGGTTTTTTTGGGGTTTATTTGGGTTTTTTGGGATTTGGGGTTTTTTGGGGTTTATTTGGGTTTTTTGGGATTGATTTGGGTTTTTTTGGGGTTTATTTGGGGTTTTTTGGGACTTATTTGGGTTTTTTGGGATTTATTTGGGGTTTTTTGGGGGGTTTATTTGGGGTTTTTGGGGATTGATTTGGGGCTTTTTGGGGTTTATTTGGGGTTTTTTGGGGTTGATTTGGGTTTTTTGGG